TTAAAATGTTTAATATTTAAAAAAAAAACACTAAACTAATTGAGTTTCTTTTCCCCATGATTTCAGGTAAAGTGATTAGCAATCCTGACATGATTTGTCGTAAGAATCAGTGAAAAACTTTTTGTATTATTCAGCTAGAAAGAAAAGAGTTTAAAATCGTTTCGTGTCAGCCTCACTATGTCTTCTTAACTGAGCAATGGTGAGAGGAAAAAGATCATTCAGGCCTTCATTAATGGTACCAACATTCATACGCTGGCTTCCATCTTCAAAGACCATTCAAGAACCATCAAGAGAACAGTGAATAAGTTTTAAAAAGTGGGAACTATAGAAAGGAAAACTTGGATCAAGAAGTAACATTAGCAAGAGGGATCAAACATTTCAACTTAGAGTTAAATACATTCTTATTTTCAAAGTAGTGTCCATGGTGTTAGAAAAACCACAGGGAATTCCTTTGAGATATGTTTAAAGATTTCTCAGATACAACGGTTCGGAGCTTTATCTGAAAATTGGAAAATTTTCAGCATTTGGATAATTTTGCTCTTACACCCGTCATATATATATATATATATATATATATATATATATATATATATGTAATGTGTGTGTGTGTGTGTGTGTGTGTGTGTGTGTGTGTGTGTGTGTGAAAAGTGTATATAAATATATGTATAATTATTCATATATTATATGCGCGGTACTTATTAGAAAGCGCTCAATATCAGAGATAGAGCTAACATATTTGGTTGGATAGATGTGAGTTTATGACACTGGGTTTCACATCGTGAAACCCAGGGGTTACAAACTCACATCTATATCTATCCATATATATATATATATATATATATATATATATATATATATATATATATACACATTTCATTGAATACGACAGACAAGGTGCTTATATTTAGTTTTTTTATACAATATCTCATGCGATCTAATATTATTAGCTCGCATGAGAAATTAATATAAAAAGCAAATAAAAGCACCTTTGTCTGCTGTATTCAATGAAAAATGAATGAAAGAAAGATTGCTGCCTAAATACACATACACACACGCATATATATATATATATATATATATATATATATATATATATATATATATATATCCAAGTATATGAGGGTATGTGTTTGATAACGGAAGGCGCAGGGGACTGGGATGCACATTGAGGGTATATGCTTGATAACTGAAGTGGGTGGTTGGAATTGGGATGCCCATTCAACATCATCAGTTGACAAGACACCAGAAGTGTTGGAGCAAAATATCTATTTATGTAGTGATTTATAAAATATTTATGTTATAATTTTCGAGTATATATATATATATATATATATATATATATATATATATATATATATATATATATATATATATATATATATATTCCGAAAACAGTTTATTACTGGTACCAAACTTCAAATCCGCCATAAAAAGACAAAATTCATTTTTAATGTTACCACACATGTTAACAATTAAGAGAGAGAGAGAAAAAAAAAAAAGAAAAACGGACTAGCTAATCGGTTACGAATCTCGCTCAACAGAGCTAAATAGATGTCAATAAATAAGTATACCTTATCAATAAAAGGAATGGAAAATGTGTAGAAAAATAATTGTAAAAATCACTTGGAGGCCACAGATCCTATTGTTTGCAAAGAGAAACTTTCATAGTTAGAATGTAGATGGCCCCTAATACTTTAGGCGGTAATTGAGTGACACGTACTCAAGATGGAAGACTCATTTATATATATATATATATATATATATATATATATATATATATATATATATATATATATATATATATATATATATATATATATATATATATATATAAAAATAAAAAATTAAGTAATTCATCGAGTCTAGAAGAAACCTCAACAGAATGCAGAAAGCACTAGACGGCCGTTTCCTCCTATATTTGGGACTCATCAGCAATGCGCATCCACTACCGAGAATTGAAACCCGGACAGTTACGTTATTAGGCAAACGTCATACCGGCGGGCATCGGTGACAAAGAGATAGCGAATCATCGAGGCCCGTTGGAACAGTTGGGGTGACGTTTGCCCGATAACATAACAGTCCGGGTTTCAATTCTCGGCAGTGGATAACGCACTGCCGCTGAGTCCCAAATATAGGACGAAACCATATATATATATATATATATATATATATGCCAGTTGTGTAATAATCAACATGCTTATCATTTTCTACAATTTTCAGTCTCAGCGATTATATTTCACATTTTCATATCACTTCCGTAATAAAGAAAGGACTTCATTTTGTTTTCTACGGGTGTCTTTTTGGTGATGGCGCCATTATGCCTCGATTCATCTTTGCACAGGGCCTCAGGACCAACAAAACTCCTTGTAACACAAAAGATGAACTGAAGGCAGGAATTATGGTAGCAATCATCAATTTAACAAGGAGACCGTCCAGAAGACATGCTGGAGATTCCGAAGAATCTTTGCTATTTCAAGATATTTTTGTGTACTTTTGGTAAATATATCTGTTAAAATGAAATGTCAGTGTTATTTTCATTTTTGCGTCATTTACACGACAATTTATCTATCGCACAATATATAGCTGTTCAAATGAGATGTCAGCGTTATTTTCATTTTTACATAAATTGCAACGAAAAATGTTGTATCAAAATGATATATATAAATATATAGAGTTTTATATTTTATATCTTTTTTTTATTTTGAATAGATCATTTTTTACTTTTAAATTGAGATCTTTGGCTAGGTCCTGAATATTTCTTGTATATTTTTTTTAATGTTCTTGGACAACCATTATTTTTAATATAAATTACAACAGTTTTTTTTTATTTGAATATATATATGTCAGGATCTTAACCGAAGAAGGATCCAGACAGTTTTTCAAATTTACACTTAAAATCTTTTTTCAAATGTATTCTCAATTGCTGATTTCCTGTAACGATTTTTGTCTACAATCCAGATGTCATTTATGTTGATACAACTGAGACGATACTCCGTTTCCTTTCCCCATTCCTACACGATAATAACTTAATATCTTTCTTTCCCCTATTCTCTATATGAAATCACTATTCTTAATTTTCCAACCTACAGTAAATTTTTCCATTTTCATTTTGTTTACAGGCCTGAAGATTTGAAGCCGTGTTTTTATCGACTTCAATGAAATAAAATATTACTTATGGCTCGACATTTAATTTCGGCGATCGAACGGAAACGTAAAATAAAAGATTTTCTTAATTTCGTAATCAGAAGCTCTTTCTTTTTATATAACCAACAACTCCAAATTATGACTTTCAAAGGAATTTTTTTAGTTCTTTTTACGGTTTATCAACACCTTTTCGGGTTATTTAAAGCAGAAACCTATTTCTTATTGTAGGAGATCGCTTACAGCAGGGGTCGGCAACTTATGGCATGCGTGCCACACGTGGCCCACCAGGAAATTTCCAATGCTACGCAGCCGCAAATGACATCACGATGTCCTAATCGATAACTACTACAACACAAAGAATATATTTAGCTGTTTCAATTTTAATATATACTTAAGTATATATAGTATATATTACTATATAAAATATAATGTAAAACAGGTATATTGACCTTAACTTGTATATAAAATACGTATGCTGTTGGCATTTTAAAACCCTAAGTCGGTACATAGTTAGCAAAAGGTTGCCAAGCTCTGTCCTCTATCACAACAAATATTTAAAATATCATAATTTTCATAAAAGTAAATAGGTGATTCATTTTTCTATATATATTCATGTAAAAAATGGAAAATCGTAGGATGAAGTTTTTTTTTTTATAACTTACTATCGATTAAGTAATCAAGGTTATGAAGTGCAAATTTTAAAATTTTTAAGAAGTCATGTCAAATGAGCATACATGTTTTGTTTTGGTTACCGTAGGTGGATTAATTTACAATGAATTTATATCGCTAAACTTCACTAAAATAAATATAATATTTGTGATCTGGAGTCTGTCACCTTTAATAATCTAAAAAAGAAATCTGAATAAATATAATTTTTTATGGTTACACTGTCTATTATATAATTCCACCAATTAAAAAAATATTTACGATAATAGTTAATACAAATAATAAGTGAAACCAAGTTACTGTTGCTAAAGAATCGTCGGTTGACAAATTGGTCCAAATTTGACTAACTGTTCTAAAAATTTTAGATTTCCGTGTTGGTCTGGCTGAGAACTTTTCATGTTACATATAGAGAGTTCCAATATGATTTGCTTTAAAATATAGCTGATTATTATTTCATTTTCTTCTTTAAAGCGGGATTTGCCGTGTCAGAATATAGGTCGTCATTAGCAAATTGATATTTTGACATATGTGTTCTATAAATCCTAATTTACATATTATAGGATTTAAGTAAAATTTCAATATGTCACTTGATGTTTCGAGGACATAGAAAGAAAAATTAAAAGTGAAATACTCCTGTAAAACAATACACAGTAAATTAGAATCATTAAAGCAACGGCTGATACAAGGAATTCAGTTCATTTAGGGCGCTCTAAATTTGAGGCCTTGTACTGAGTATGTAAGGCGTTGTCTAAGAGTTAGCAAATTAGCATCTTCTTTTGTACTAATGTCCGATCTACATTGAGCGCTTGTGGCCTTGTACCAGACTACTTTAAGTCAAAGAAATATCAGTAAGCAAAAATAGATCAATAAATTTCTAACCTCTGTTACTTAGCTGAATATGACTCAAAAGATTTACAATTTAATATTATATCTATGAAGGGGCTTTGGGTGAAGTTAATTGAGAAGAACTTATTGGTTGATTTTTTTTTATCGTTTAATTTTTGCAGGTTATTTAAAGCCAAAAAAATATATATATTTAAGTTGTAAGAATTATTTGAAGATAATGATGATTTATTGAAATAAGTTCTACTAATTAACCCATAGATGGGGGAGGACATTGATATCTTTCCCAATGATATCTGAACATAACTGAGTATAACGACCCTGACTGAAATTGAAATACATGCAGGCTTCCAGCACCTGGTACTCCCAAGTGGTTACCTATCTAGGTACTGATCAGGATCGACGTTCTTTAACTTCGGTAATCTTACGGGGTCCGGTGTTTCAACGCAATATGACCGTAAGCCGGCATTAACAAGGAATAAATTATGCAGATAAATAAATACACCCTTGTGCAAATTAATTGAAACAAAACGAATAATTCCGTTATAATTTATTTTTTTCCATATTTTTTTCAATAACCCAGTGTACATATTAGTATTTCATTTATCCATTCCACGAAGTCGTTCTTTGCAGATTGACCACAGATTCTTGATTGGTTTTAAATCAGGAGAGATTCCGCTTCAGTCTATAGTACTTTGATTTGCTCATTGATAAGGCTTGCCAGTGCAGCATTACAATTTTCGTACGCTTCCTTGAAGTGACGTCTTTCGTAGACAATGGCCGTAGGACAACTAATCGACAGTCGACACAATAGTGTCTGGGCATGATAAAAAAACTGATGAAATAACGGATGGCACAATATTTTTCAAGGCGAAACAAATTTCATCATACACCCCGAAAATTGATTCATATTACTGCACACTACTGTAAATGACCTAATCTGAGGAACAAATAGAAATTGATTACACACTGTTACTCCAGTGGGTCTAAAACTGACCGTATGGTGAAAGAAAGGAAACTAAAGCGGTTGTTTAAATTAATTTGCACAAGGGTGTATTTATGTAAAATAAATGCGTTTTTAATTTTCATTAGATTCTGATTCACCTCCACTTAAATATTTTCTTGTTTTTTTTTAATCATTTCACTCCAAAGCAAGGCGGGAACGCCACTAGTATGCAGAAGGTTACAGAGAATGAAAGTGAGAGAAAAGGCCGGGTATAGGGGGCACCAAGAATGGTGTTCAAGAAGATGGCGATAGACATTGCATTTAAACTTTTGAAGAATGTAGTTCCAAGTTGTAAGTAAACGGAAGAGAGTCCCGCAGGTGGGAAGTGTGAGAAAAGAAACTGTTGGAGTAGAAGTAACGGTTACATTTACCTAATTCAAAAGAAAAGGGGTGAGACCGAGATGCCAGTCTAGTGGCACACTTAAACACACGTAGTCTGGGCACCAGGAAAAAAAAAGTTCGTAAGAGCAGTAGCCATGAAAACATTTGTAGAAAAGACAGAGGGAAGCCACGTCACGTTGGTTAGAAAGTAACTGAAGTTGAGATGCCATGTCAGGATCTATTACATTGCAGATCCTTCTTTGGATTTTATCAGGAACCTTGAGATGAGTAGCAGGAGCACCTGACCAAACATGGCAACAGACGAATGGTAGATTTTTAAATGTGCAAAGATGGACTCTGAGGAGGACAATCTTCAGCCACGACACAGTGACCCCTGTCATGCGAGATGATTTTTCTATAGTTTCATTTTAGAGCTATATACAAAATGAAACGTTAGTGATGTGTGTATGTGTGTGTCTGTAATTTAAGAGAAATTTAAACTAAATTAACAAAGAAAACTGGCAAGAATAGATGACATGCACTTTGTAAATCCTGACCCAACTGTCATCTCTGTTATTTGTCATTTCTATGTATTGTCACACAGTGTCCAATGAGTGACAAAATGTTTAAAAATAAATTCCTTTAACTGCTCAAGTCAAAAGCCGCATCGTTGATCTTCGTCAAAAGAGAAAATCTTATTCAGATATTCCAAAAATGTAGCGTCCTGGGTATGACGATAAACTACGTCCAACAGCAAGGCCTCTGATAACGTTTGTAAAAAAATAATGTTGCCAGCGATACGTTTGTGAAAAAATAATATTACCGGCTATACGTTTTTGGCAAAATAATATTACCGGCTATATGTTTTTGGCAAAACAGTATTATCGGCTATACGTCTTTGGAAAAATAAAATTACCGGCCATACTTTTTTGGAAAAATAGTATTACCGGCTATACGTTTTTGGAAAAATAAAATTACCGGCCATACTTTTTTGGAAAAATAGTATTACCGGCTATACGTTTTTGGAAAAATAAAATTACCGGCCATACGCTTTTGGAAAAATAGTATTACCGGGAATACGTTTTGGGCAAAATAGTATTACCGGCCTACGTTTTTGGAAAAATAGCATTACCGGCTGTACGTTTTTGGGAAAATAATATTACTAGCTATACGTTTTTGAAAAAAATAATTAAAAAATAATAATTAAAAAATATTAACAGAAATAGATTTTTGACAAATCAAAAATATTACGAGGAAAAAAAAGTTGTCGGCATAAAATGACCCATTGAGGTTTTGATATGCCATAAAACAAACCAAACCAAACAAACCAAAAATGTAAAGGCTGATGATATCAAGTTCATTGTCAACAATTCTGAGACTTTGTTACACATTCCAAGTGACTGGAATCAGGTTCTGAATATCCTAAAAGTGACAGAGTTGAGATGAGAAAAAGCTGAATGAAAATGACTGTTTTAAATCATCGTAGAAGAATTCTAATATCGGTTTTCAGCAACAGGAATGAAAATTCAAAATTTCAAGAAGAACTATTTCAAGAACGCTGGACGAAGCTTGTTTGTTATGAAAGTAGTGTACAAATATCCGTTCCTATTCAAAAAAGAATGCAGAAAATTGACTCAAATATTTGTTACTTTATAGTTTCCATGATAAGTGTGAGTTTACTTTGGAATAATGAGTCACAGTTCAAGCTGTCTAATAATGCAGTGGAAAGCTCTGATAAAACATTCAACCAAAACTATCGCTGATTGTAGAAATATGATACGAGAAGGGTGTTTGTATCAGTTGTTAGCGAGCTTGTACTATGTGAAAACATCAGTAATGCGAAAAAGTAACAAAATTACTTGCATTATTTACATTATTCGGACTGTTATCCTCATTGTCGTATTCACAACGTTTACGACGTTGTACGCTCTGGCATTCTTAAGGCGAATGTCCTCAAGGACAACATCGCCCAGTGGATAAGACGTTGCTTAGATACAATGTCTAGACCCAAATAATTGTGAGTTCAATACTGGGGCACAGCAGTGGTGAAGCAAAAAACTTGGAGAGTTGAGTTAAAGGGAAATGACTGAGACATCCGGAAGAGGCAGGGCACGTGGAACTAGAACAATTAACCTCGATGAACGAAATAAACGGTTCGGTTCGATATTCCAGTTACCTGAGAACGGACGAAACGTTGTGAATATGGCAATGAAGATGAGGATAACAGTTCGAATAATGTAAATGATGCAAGTAATCATAATACCTCATCTAAGAGATATAGACAGACATATAGAGAGACATAGACATAAAGGCCGGGGCGCACAACGGCCGAAACGTTGTGAATATGGCAATGAAGATGAGGATAACAGTCCGAATAAGGTAAATAATGCAAGTAATCATAATACCTCATCTCCCAGATATAGACAGATATGAAGGGTTAAGTTTGAAATTCCAATCACCTGAAGAAGCCAAGAGCATAGAACGGCCGAAACGTTGGGAATATGTCAATGAAGATGAGGATAACAGTCCGATTAATGTAAATGATGCAAGTAATCATAATACCTCGTCTCAGAGATATAGACAGATATTGAAGTAACAAAATACATGACAAATTAAAAACCAAAAATTGTTTCCGTGTGTTTTGAGCCTGTTCATTCGTCAGATGTTGACCTTAAAGAGGACACATATTAAGGCCAGGTTACACGGGAGAAAATTTGAGAATGTTGACCAGACGAGAAAAATATAGAGGACGAGAAACGGATGCACAGGTATACCATCGAATATCAGCGCTTAGAGTGTAAGCGGCAAGACAAGTTCAACTTCCGGTGTAGTCTACAGTCATTCTTTTTTGCAAAAATGCCTTCGGAACCCTTCCCACTTAGTGTTAGAGGTAGCAGAGCAGACTGAACTCTCTAGCCTTGATTGATAACTAGGCTAAGCGAAAGAAAACATTGAATTCCAAGCCGTGTAGAAGTCAAAGAGAAACCACTCAAATATATTTCGCAAGAGGCCATGATAATTCCCAAATAAAAGACAAAAGGAAGCCGTGGTGTGTGATGATTCCCTCTGTTTTTTTTTCCTTTTTTAAAGAAAAACATTGTCCGAATGGCTAGATTTTCTGAAGAAAAACAAATATGCACTCGTACTAAAGTGCAATCCACAAACAAATATTGCATATACTTTTTGTATAACATTGTCACTTATTTCCTATGCTCGACTAAAAACGTAAAAAATAAAGTAAAAAAAAGAGTTACTTACCTTGGGGACGCAAGAGAGTAAGCATTAGAATATTTTGTGTCTAAACTTGTAAAACCGTTCCAACCACCTGATGAAGGCCGGAGTGTACAACGGCTGAAACGTTGTAATAAATGTGGCGACAAAGATGAGGGCAATAGTGAATAATGCGTACATAAACCTCATCTGAAAATAGGATACTGAAAAGGCCGAATAATGTAATAAAATGGCGACAAAATGAGGACAATACTTCAAATACCTTATCTCAGAAATATAGACAGATACTGAAAGGCCGAAACGTTGTAATAAAATGGCGACAAAGATGAGGACAATGGTCGAATAATGTAAATAGTGTACATAATACCTAATCTCAGAAATATAGACAGATACTGAAAGGCCGAAACGTTGTAATAAATGTGGCGACAAAGATGAGGGCAATAGTCCGAATAATGTAAATAGTGTACATAATAACCTCATCTCTCAGAAATATAGACAGATATAATAAATATGGCGTACAAAGATGAAAGGACAATACGGAATGTAAATAGTGTACATAATACCTAATCTCAGAAATATAGACAGATACTGAAAGGCCGAATAATGGCGACAAAGATGAGGGTCCGAATAATGTAAACATAATACCTTATCTCAGAAATATAGACAGATACCGAAGAGCCGAAACGTTGTAATAAATGTAATGACAAAGATGAGGAAACTTCAAATAATATAAATAGTTACCTCATCTCAGAAATAAAATATGGAAACGTTGTAAATTTGACAAAGAAAGATAAGAACAATAGTCCATAATAATCAGAAATAGACAGATACTGAAAGGCCGAAACGTTATGTAAATATAAAATGAGGTAAATATGTAAAAAAAAGAAGAAGAAAGAACTGTTA